AATAAAGTATATCACAGACAAAAATATACAATTTTACATTAAAGCAACATTAAGGGTCTCAATTTAGTTAACCAAAAATGAATATTAAGGAAATTTCCAAGTATGTTGTAATTTTATAGATTGCTCAAAAAAAAAAGAAACTAAATGTGTTATTGGTCTCCACGGGCAAGATATTACAAACCTTATGATGAAAACACCTGCCAGTTAGAAACTTGCTCACTGAAAAATGATCACTGCAGCTTCAGGGTTGAAGCCGGACAGAAAACAAACAAACAAAAAATTGAATTCTCCCAGAGGTATTCTAGGTCTCTACAGTGAATTTCCTGTTTCCCACCAGTTTACGACCCTTAATGTTACTGGATGGATGGTTGCATATTTGAGATGATTAAAAAATAAAAAACGGGCTTAAAAGCACCTCCTCAAGTATGTAACTACATATAAACTGAAGACTCTTTCTGATGGTCCAGGGACCCCATTTGTCACTGTTTCATGTATAAGCACCATTGAGCCAATTTTTAAAGCACATTTGCAGTTATCAAGTGTTTAGTGTGTCCTCAAGTTTTTGTGATTTGTTTGCCTTCATGCATTAAAAAAACCTGTCAAGTGCGTTATTTTATGCTCTTTTTTTCATATCTGAATTGACAGTATTGTTAATTTGGAAGTGCTTTAAATCACTGTTTTCCCCCAACAGACTAGAATGCCTTTGTAACATTTGACAAATAAGGAAATCTCTCTCTCCAGAAGCACATATGTGACCCTCGAAACTGCATGCAAAATAAGGGTCTGCTGGAGAGTATTTTTCTAAACTCTTAATGGAAATGCAGACGGTATGTGGGGGAAGACTGACTTTTGAACTGACCAACTTCAAGTTTTCAGAACAATCTTTGGACCAAAGAAAAGTCATATAACAGTTAAAAAAATAATGACAAATTATAGAAAGGTATATTATCTACCACATATGCCAGATAAATTAAATTTTAAAAAATCCAGCCACATCCAAATGAATAATTATGTAAAAACTGATATCTTATGCTTTCTGAAATTCTGAAATCACAACGAAGGAGGGGCCAGAAAGGATTTTTCGGTTATCCTTTTCTTGGGAGCGTTGGGAAGAAGTTGGCAAGAGAAGGAAGTGAACCTTCCCTATTTGGTACAGGCCCCATAACTTCAGCCTGGGGCACATTTTTATGGTCAAATTAAAAACCTTTGAGAATAGAAGTTCATCATGGACATTCTGACAGATCCTTACCCAGAGAAGGGCTAGGGGCAACACGGTAATATTAAGAAAGCTCTCCCTCAGCACAATCAAGCATGAGGGACCGAGTGGTCTAATGGATGCCCTTGGCCAGCAAACAAACTGTGATTTAATGTGCTTGAGACTCGGTCATTACAGTAGCTCCCTGGCCCGCTAAGCCAATTTTTTCTTTTCTTTTGTTTTCAAACTGAAATATGCCTCAAAGGGTAAAGGATTGCAATTTTAGCCTTCATTCATGGATATATTGCTTTCTTTCAACAATATCTGACGGGCCTGTTAACCACCCCCTATGGGGTTGTTGAGCAAGTTATGGGAAGGTCTCATTGAATACAAAACACCAAGTGTTTTCAGCAGTTTATTCACATTTTTTTCTCTGCTTATTTTAATATGCACCACGTGTAAGTTAAATGAGGGCTACGGTAAAAACACTTTCGGTGACTGAAATCTTACTTTTCCTTCTAATGATTTAGAGCAAATTCACATATCCATTGATCATGACGAATAAAATAATTTCTGCTACGATAGTGAGAGGAAGCGTGTTCATTAACACGAACACACGTCTACAGAGATGATTTACACAATGCAAGTACTGCAGGAATTCGTCTTTAACTAGTCTACTATCAAACTGAAAAGCTGGAAATACCAGATGGTTGGTCATGTGTCAGTAAGGAAAGACGGTCCCCATCACCAGCCTCCCACCATTAAGACCTGTCTTAAATACTTGGGGGGAAAATGTGGAAACACTTGTGGTGATGATTAAATCAATAATTACAGAGATACACTGCCATCATGGTATATATTTGTTCTATGATAAGTGAAATCAAAAATAAGATCAATTTGGTTAGAGAAATTCCTTAAAGAACACCACCACTTACTTATTTCAAACTTGAACTATCCCAAGAATGTCGAGAAAAAAAAATTAGAAAGCACTGTCTAAAAGCAAAGCAATCTGGAGACACCATCGTAATCAGCATGCCTTGTGCTTGTCTGTTAACCCTCTGAGTACACCTCTGACACTCAGGATCTTGGTAGCTTAAAATGTTGGCAAGATTGCATTCCACCTGACTATTCAATATTTCTACTTGACCGGTCACATTCCACTGTTTATTCAGCATAGATTGCTCAAATTCTACAATGGTGCACTGGGGATCCCTGTGTGGAATGGGCCCTGCATGCTTCTGAGCTGGCCCTCTGTGGTGTGCTGAGTAACACTACACAGCCCCACGCGGTCCAGAGCCCCCAAGTGTTGGTGGGAAGAGGACGGAGCCACGTACTGTAGTTCAGTACCCTAGAAGCTGCAGCAATACGCGTAACCCCCACAGAGAAAAAGCAATACTTCCAAAAAAGAAAGGAAAATGACAATGTCCTGCAGGTAGGTCTCCACCCAGAGGATGTCTCACGTTTCAAATTTAGGCCAAGTCATACAGCCACTCCTCAGCCCTGGAATAGTGCTTTGCGTTTCACTTCTAGAGAAAGCAGTAATTTCTGACTAGTTCCATGCCTTTTACTAATATGGAATCTACCTCTGCACCCAAGCCTTTCCTGGTGTTCTGTGCCCCCATCCCCTAAAATAACTCAACTCCTTTCTTGATTTATGCTACTTTCTGATTTTGTGTGTAATCATTACTAGACATTCTAAGAGAGGGAAGAAAGCTCTCAGTAAATGGGATACTGTTTAGATGTCAGGACAACACAGACAACAGAGGTAAAGCTAAGTATGGAAGAGCAGAAGAGTGGGAAGGCTGCCTTGAAAAGGTAATGACGCGTTGTGACTTAAAACTCTGCATTTGTGTAGTCCAGGGTTTAAGGGGTAGGGAGCAGAAAAGCAGCAGGTGAAGAGCCATGTGTCCTGGGAAGTAAAGGACTGACTCCAGAAAGGCTGTTGAGGAGTTTCAAGACTCCCAGGTACTGGTGTGTCACATATCCAAACAGAGGAGCAAGCACTGCCAGCCATCCAGATGCAGATTTTGTGAGACACTGCTCCCTGGCTGTCTCCAGGAGCACCTTGGGAGCACACGAGAGCCTGCACCACACCTGGGACAGGCCTTTCTAAACAGTGCAGTGACCTGCAGAAGTCTTGGGCCCTTATTCTCAAATCCTATGTTCCAGAAGTTTATTATGATGAGAATGTAGACACTGTGCCCTTTGGTAATAGACATGTCCTTGTGTTTGGCACTCCAGTATCTTATCTCAAGTCTGGAGACAAGAGAGGTAGGGAAATAGATTTGGTAATGAGAGTGAAAATAAAGGTCTTGAATAGGACTAGGCCCAGAGACAGAAAGACAGTATGTAGCCCTGGATAGTGTAAAAAATTGAGGGTGGTTAGTCACAGCTGAGTGGTTAGGCTGGCTCAAGCCTGTAATTCTAGCACTTTAGGAGGCAGAAGCAGTAAGATTGCTTGAGACCAGGAGTTCAAGACCAGCCTGGGAAATAGAGTAAGACCTGTCTCTACAAGAAAAAAAAAAAAAAAGAAAAGAAAAGAAAAATTAGCCAGGTGAGGTGGCACGAGCCTATAGTCCCCACTACTTAGGAAGCTGAGGCAGGGAGTCACCTGAGCTCAGGAGTTTGAGGTTCCAGAGAGCTATGATGAGGCCACTTCAGTCTAGCTGGGCAACAGAGTGAGATTATCTCCAAAAATAAAAAAAAGTTGTCTTAGGGAATGGAAGTTCTATCCTTAGTCCTATCGTCTCTAGGTCATTTATCTTACAGGTGCACCAGTTCATACCCATTTTTAGAACATTCTGGATTATGTCCCCCCCCCCGTGCTTTCAGCTCAGCCACTTTGCAAAGCACTTGCCACGTGGATTCCTACTCCAGGTGGAGCACACACTGGCAAACACAGTGCACGGAAAAGCAGGTGAGAAAAAGCACAGAATCTTGTCTCCTCCTTCTGTTTGGAATTCCAGCCCTCTAGAGCACGTGGCAATTTATTGCTCTGTTCAGCCAGTTGTTTCTTTCCTGGAGACGTCTGACAGTGTGCAGACAGACCCTCACCAAGCACCGACAGGCCACCGTGCTTCCCCGAGGGTCTGCGCCAGTGCTAGCAGCAGCTGATGTGGGAGCAGCATTTCTGGGGCATGAATAGTCCACCTTCGTGTGGAGACAAGTGGGGGAGGGCAGGCTCACTGCAGCTGGCACGGTCCTATCTCTAATGGGAAAAGTTGCCTTTCTCAAGTGGACAGTGAGGAAGAAAGAGGGGTGTGTATGCCGAAGCTATCAATCTACCACGTTCTAACTCCACAGAGAAGGACCAGCAAGACTGCACTCTAGATGTCCTTCTTGTCTGGACATTTCAGAGTCTAACACTGCCACTTGATCTGCAGCAAATATGGAGAAAACAAGTGTGTGTATTCATCCAAAGACCCAAAACATTCCCCAGTAAGGGTTCGCGGTAAAAATTCTATGCACTCAGAGGGTTAACATGTGCTAAACTGTATTACATACTGCAGATCTAGCTTGACTGATGAAAACATTCATTGCTTCTATGTTTAAAAAAAATTGCAAATTAGCCTTAACCCTTTGAAGACCCTGTTAGCAGCAAATTACCATCTTCACAAATACCACATCATCTCATTCAATAGAGGGAAATAGCTACGAAGATACCTGAAAACACACTTTCTGTCCTGCCATTCAAGCTTTGAGTGCCAGATAGATCAGATGAAACTGTTTTACATAAATTTTTTTTAGGGGGGGGAATCTTAGAGTCTCAAAGGGTTAAGCTAGGACTTTGAGTAAAAGGGTCTTATTAAAAGGGCGAGTTGGGGGAGCGAACAGTCTCGGAGGAGCTTGGGGAGTAGTCTTCTGATTCCGAGTTGAGTTCCGGCGGGGCTGGCTGTGCCTTGTACCGGCTCCTCACATCCTGGTTGCGTCTTCGTCGGAAAACCTGCCTCTCCTTATCAAGAGCGGTGGTCTAGCAGGGGCATAAAATGAGAAAGAGGACAATTAGGCCGAGGGAAATGGCAAAATAAACTCTTCCTAGAACTTTCTGAGGTCAGAAAAATCTGCCAGGCAAGTTCCCAATCATAGTTCACTTTTGTTGACAACAGTCACCACTCTTGGGGAGCTTTCAGCTCCCCCTAAATCCAACTTTTTAGGGATCTGGTCATGACATCAGCAGCACAGGCAGGATGGATGATGTCCTGGGCGTGGCCTCTCCCCAGCCCTGACCAGAATCCTGCTTGTTCCACATCTATCTGCCCTTGGTGGCTTCTGGGCAGGCCAGAGAACCCCCAAGTTGTACGGAAGCCTCAGTCCTATGTGTGTGTGACAAGTAGGAGTGGGCCACGTGCATTAACACGCAGCTCAGGGTCACCCTACAATAAAGGTGAAAGGTGATGAAGTTGCCGAACCTTCAAACAGACCCACAAGCTCTTCCTGTTCCTGTGGTCCCCCTCACTCTCAATGCCATTTTCACCTGCTGATGAGAACATGTGGCTGAATCTTGGGGGAAGGACTGGTTTAATTTTAATGAAACCAAAGCCTGAAATTGAACACTACTTGAATGCAAGTAAATCAAATGGAAGCCTCCCAAGGATTTCCCTTTACAAAGTTCCTTTTCATCATAGTATGTGGTAGTTTATGAAAATGAGATTCAGTTCCATAGTATTCCAGTTCTCAGTCTCCAGGCCTTGTTTTCCTGAGAAAACACTGGATGATCTCGGCTGTGTCATCTGCCTGTAGCTCTGGAAGTTATTACAATGTCAGAATGGGAGCAGCATGACTTTACCGTGGATTTAATGGGTGTGGGAGGAATGGGGTCATTACAGAGAAACCTTACACAGAAAGCAGAAAAGCAGGTACAAAGTCTGAAGAAAAATACAGAACGCTTATAAAAGTTGAGGGCATTCTTGTTTGAAAAATCCCTCTTTAAAAGGATGTAGCCTGGAGGTTTTCTGCTTTTAAGAGATTACTTTTCCTCTGCAGGGATATATACTGCTATTCCTCCTCTTGAAAATTTACTGTTAAGCTTCTTCAAAGAACAGAGATAAATTTATAGCAAGCCTGGTTCTGAGAACAAAGTGAAAACTAAACCCCCCATACAACTGTGGTATAGCATTAGAGCAATCTTAGATCTAAAATAGGCAATCACAGTTTCAAAATGAAGTAATAAAGAGAAAAAGAGGCAATGCGTAGGGCCAGGCTAGTAAATGGCTTCGTTAGGGGGAACTGTTCTACTTTAAAAACTCTGCACACACTGAGTAACAGTGTTACAAACCAACCAGGAAGATAAACTTTAATAATTCACTTGTCGTTTTACTAGATTGTTATACAATGATCCAATAACCGGCTTGCTGAAATGTCTACCTTTGATTCTTCTACTTGTTGAATTTTTAAGGACCCTCATATAGTTCCTGGGTTTATACCCATTGATTTTATGACATTTTCAGCATCTTAAACCCAGATTCCTAACTGTATTTAAAACATTGTAAAGTTATAACACATGGTATTTTGCTTTCAAAGCAAACTGAAAATGTTGTTTGTATAGAGTTCAATGTTTGTAGAAAAACAGACATCCATTTACTCTGCTTTACATAAAAAAACATTCTGTAGCTAATCTGAAAGTAATAAACTCTTCCCTTGGCCATAAAAAAAAAAGTCTTTCTATTTCTACCTTTTTGAGAAAGAAAAGGATCTTTGGAGGTGGACTGAATCCTGAGTCGTGAACAGAGGCAGTCAGATGTGGGGAGGGAAAGCACAGGGGCTGTGGTCAGGAATTCCGTGCCCTGTCTTGTCCACGGTTGGCTTGTGGCTTTGTGAATCATTCACTCAGCTCTTGTTTCTGTTAGATAAGGAGCAGGAATAATTCCTTCCCACCCTTGCTATGGGGAAAAACGGATGTGCAAATGTTTTCTAAACAACCAAGACTCCCAGAAACGTCAAGGTGTTCACCTTTACAATTTGATGTGAGATATTGCTGCAAAACTGAGTAACTGCGGGTCGGGGAAAGCAGTGCAACCAAAGTCCAGATGAGAACTTCACAGGACTTTCCCTCCCTCACTGTCACCGCCACCTTCTTGATATTTACTCATATCCCCATAACCTAGTCACTTACACCAAGTCACACCCTTGGCTGCAGTCACCGAAATGTACCATTTCTCTGTGAATATCACAGTCCAGCCTCTCCAGAAGCTGGAGCACATAATGGCGAGCTCATGCTTGGATGGTCCCAATACCCTTATTTTTAGCTTAATTTCTGAAAATGCTTCTGAGGACAATTATATCCTCTTCCTTACTTGTCCCTCTGCCTGGAGAGCCCTTGCTCTGACCCCTTTTAGGCAGTTAGTTCTGGCCATCTTTGCCTATTCCCCCTGTCAGCAGCTTTCTGGGTGTCTGCCTCTGTAGCTGAGACCTTGTGCCCAAAATCTCCTGAGCCTGCAGGTGCATGGTTCCCTAATATCCTGGAGGCGTTTATTCATGGAAGCATATCATGGGCACGAGTGGGTGTCATGTAATAAAGTCTTGATGGTTGTCTTTTTTTGGATTTATAGACACTTAGAATTGAAAGAGGATTTAAAAGTATTTTTGTTCAATGCTCTGCCTTGATAGGCAAAGAAACTGAGGCTGGGGCATGTGGAAAGACTTGTCCAGACTGCACCACTAACTAGAAACACAACTCAGTTCTTCTCCTGCATAATTTAATCTGAAGTCTGTTGAAGCAGAATGAATTGGAGTCACTGCACTCCAGTAGCTCACCCCTTCTCTGTTCCTGCCCAGCATGAGCTGGGGAGAAGATGCTGTCCACAGACAGGCACTGATGATCAGAGAAACTTCTCTTAGGAACAGCAAGCAGAGTCCCCTGTGTGCATGATCCCAATCTGACTGGGGGGTGGCTTGCAAACTTCTAGGGAGACTCGGATCTGATGACAGAGATGTGGTTTCTTTATCCACCCTGTGCTCACAATATTCTCAAAAGCTGCAAGTTAGGTTGAGGGCTCATAACTGACTTGCTGGCAGAGATGCTCCCCTTGCAGAGGGATGTCACCATCCCCAGGTTTCTCCTCCCTGGGCCCCTGCTCACTCTGCTTCCATGAGTTATTTTAGGACCTTCCTCCTTCTCTGTTCCTGTCACAATCTAGCACTGTTATCACTGTGCATGCTGCCTCATAAGTGACTCTAATGAACTGTCTTCCCTGCCACAATGTAGATTTTTGAAGGACCAGGGTCAAGTCTTAGACACACTCTCTGTGTTATTCACAGTTCACTGCACACCATATATAGTCTATGGATTCCATGGCTTTTGAAATATGCCAAAGTGCAACAGAGGTTATCTATTTCTCTCGGGAGCACCCAACCCCCCACTCCATCCTGCACACAAGGATGAGGTCAATTTCCACAAGGTCCAATTTATTTATAACCCCTCATAAAGTCCAATTCCTTGACCTATCTTTGCAAGGTGCTTACAATGAAAACTTCCAGTGTCTATTTCCTGTTATGACTCAAGATGATCCCGTGACATCAGCAGACTTTATGTCCTTCTGTTGGATACTTGATTTTCTAGCACAGCATCACTGACTCTGCCGACCATTAAACGAAGCTTAATTTCTCCTCCCCACTCCCATACTCTTGTGATAACAATGATGGTGACCTTACTCCCATGCCTGGGATGGGGGAGGAGTGGGCTTGTAAACCAGGAGTGAGCCTGAGCTTCCGGCATGCCCCTAGAGCCACGACTGCTGCCTAGGCGGGCACCCAGCCCTGTCACAGGACCCAGTGGGACTTTCTGACAGCATGGTCTGGAGCTGCTTCTCACATCTTTATACCCTAGGTAGTCCAAGATTAAAGCCAACACAAGGAGGCAGGATTTGAAGAAATCAAGCTTTGGCTGAGTGCCAAATCCACCCATCACTGAAACCAGACCTGACCTGCAGCCCTTTCAGGTGATGGGAAAGAATAAATTTCCTTTTTGCCTAAGCCAGTTTGGTTTGGGTTTCCTTCACTTGCTGTAAAAACAGACCTAACTGACCTATTTCTGAATGTACTTCTACCATTCTCACCTCTACATATTGGCTCAAGGTGTTCACCAACTTGAAATGACCTCTCCTCCTCTCTGCCCACTCGAGTTTATGCATTTGCCGAGGCTGGATCAAATTCTACCTCCTGTATCACGCTTTGTCTTTCTGAACTCCTTAGGCAAGCACTGTCTTGACCAAACTTTTCACACTTAATTGATACTGACCTTCTATTATCTGTTCTTTGCATATTCCCTAAATACCACGTGAATGCCTCTATGATGGAATTTGAAACTTCTCCGCACTTTCCAGAATGCTCACCAGACTGTGGCACATGCATCAGACACATAGTAAATAGTTCTTAATTAATACAGAATTATTTTAGGAGATTATATATTTTCTGAATAGCAAAAAAAGAAAAAAGAAGAAAAAAAATAGAACCCAAAGCAAGTCTATACCACAAAAGAGTAAGAAGTTAAAAGTATTGAGTCAATATTTAAGAATATAATTTATATTTTGAATATTTCTGTCAGATAAAGTTAATATTCTCTTATGCTTATGCATTTACCCATTCATCAGACACTTATTGTGGTCCACGTTCTTATCACAGTAATAACTGTCATATATAATATCTTTAGAAATGTAATTGTGGCTATAAAATCAGCTTTACTCTAAAATATGTACAGTTCATCCCTTATACGTGACTCTTGTAGCTCCTATCTCCATTTCAGGACAGATGAATTCAGCAAACAAATAGACTATTATATATTATATAATTTTATAAGATAAAAAATTATATAATGCAAATGATAATCGATCTTCCCCTCCCCCCAAAGAAAAAAAAGAGTATTTGAAATGTAATTTGATGTCTGAAGTCTTACAGCACAAATTCAATTCTGGGTTCTTTCAACATTCTGAAAGGCAGCTTTACTCTTTATCAATCACAAAAAATCCCCAGATG